TTCTAGTTGGGGACTAGGATGTAGTGAATGCAATAGCTTCTGACATACAACGTGTATTTCATGTCTCTTATAAATAATTATGCTATGCATGTCACGATACATCTAGTACATATAGCATTTATAACATATATCTTTTTTAAAGTTTACTGTGATTTGAGTGAAACCTCATGTCTTGATAGTTCTAAGAAATGTCTATGTCACTAACTTATGTACGTACAGTTCTATCTAAAATGTTTACCCTTTATGCCTATGCATAGGCACGAGCTTCCAATTTCATTTATTATGTGTCTCTTTGATATTGTAGCACTGTCTCTCTAATTTTCTTTTGAAAATATTATCATGAAGTGCACTGTGCAAAACAAAGGCAAAACAAGTTTTGGTGATACAGCAGCAAAAGGTAAAGGAGAAATATCAATCTGAAAATGGCAAAAGGTGAAATAACACAAAGCTGGAAAAATAAGTGAATGCTATTGCTTATGTTATAGGCATATCATATTTGACAATCCTCAAAAATAAAGAAAAAAAATTTCCCAAGCTTTTAGATGGTCAGCTCCACTAAAATTGTGAGGCTAAGAAAAATATGAGATGGCCAATATCAGACATGGAAAAATTGTTAATGACAAAAGACAAAACACAAAAGCAAATTCCTTTCAGGACTCGTTGATGATCATTTCTAAGACAAGTTTGTTCAAAATGCTTAAAGAAAAAGAACCAAACTACAGTACATTGTTTGCACAATGTCTAAATCAGTATTTGATTTCACAGACTGTATTATGGATATTAAGAAACACATGATTGTATTTTCCTTCAGATAAAAACATTTGCTTTCTCTAACTTAAAAATCATAACTTTTTTTTTTTTAGGATTGTAGGCCTTTACAAACTCCTTTAATGTCTCATTAATGATAACTATTTCCCCTATCGTGTTCTTTAACAAAACATCTCAAATAGAAACAATCAAGGTACCAGGATACACAGATCCCAAGAAAGTAGCAGTGATTCAATCACATCTGTCACAGGGAGCCCTAGAAAGCACAGTGTGCACTTGTGAGAAAGAATGGAAAATATACTTTACTGTATATGGTCAAATTTCACAAGAAATAATTCTTCAACAAACCCTATCACTCCCTGTGCCCCACCCTCAGTAATGGGAATGAAAATTTCAAAATCAAGGAAGCTTGGAGTGGTAAGTGACCAGTAAAGCCTTATACCACAGAAACAGCCAGCTACGGTTATGGGTGAAGAGAGGAATTAGAAGATCGTCTGAGCAGGAACACAAGTCAGGCCTTCATTGAAACACAATTTAATACTGTATTCTCAACTTTTTGTCAAAGGTCTGAAGAACATTTTCTGTACTTTCTACAAGTCCACAGTAGAAGCCTTTGTCTATTATATTTCTCAGGCAATGTATGCTTTCTAGAATTTAGCATAGAGGAGAAGACTTTTAGCTCAAGTTTGAAATTTTTCTTTTTACTAAACAATACAAACTATATTTTGTCCCAGGCTTTTAGAGCTAGAAAAGGCTTTAGAAATCATAGAGCCCAGTATTTTCTGAAGTGTGCTTTGAGTGTTAGGAAGAGAAGTGGGGTGGGGTGAATTCTGTAAGGAAACAAGTAACTTTCTTTTGTCTAAAATTATTTTATTGAAGGTCATGCAATTCATCCCTTTAGAGTGTGTGATTCAGGGGTTTTCAGAATATGCAAAGTGGTGCAACTATCACCACTACTGACTGAATTTTAGGGCATTTTCATCATTCCCAAAGACACTCCGGACATTAGCACTCATTCCCCTAGAAGTTTCTTTACTCTGGAAATTCTTGGGCCCTTTATTGTGAATCTAATCTTCAAGGAGACAGACTGACACGGTGGTTACAAAAATGAGCTCGAGGCGAGCTCTGGTGGCCTAGAGGCAAGAAGCTGCACTGCAATCCTAGAGGTATGCGGTTCAAATCCACCAGATGCCCTGCTGAAGGAGGAGGGACAATCTCCTCCTGTACCAGTCAGATCCGATTTGACGGTACACATGTAAAAAGTAATAAAAATAAAAATTTAAAAAATAAAAAAAAATGAGCTCGAGCACAGAAGCAACTGGGAGGATGGCAGAGGATCAGGCTGTTTTGTTCTGCTGTACACAGGAATGGAAGCTGACTGGATGACACCCAACAACAATCTGGTTTGTGAGTTTCTAAGAAGGGCATACAATGTAAAGTTTCCCTAAATGTACTGAACAGTGAACAAGTGCTTACTAATTTAAATGTGTACATGTACAGCTGTTATGTGTCAGGGAATTGCAACAATTCATAGCTTCTAGTGGGACTTGATGGCACTTAACAACAACAGTGGATTTACAGTATCTGAAAACCACACAGGAGATTGTCCATCTGTTTCCGTTTCCGTTGGAGCAGCTGGTGGATTTGAATTACCAGCCTTTGAGTTGGTAGCACAACTCCTTATACCACTAAGCCACCAGAGGTCCCTATATGTACTACCTTGGCTAGTTTCCCAGTTCACTCCATGAGGAGGTTTTATTATTATTATTAAAAGATTACTAAGTAACTTGTTTAAGTGATCTTAACATTCTACAACCTCCCACAGAAATAAGTGTGGGAAGTGAATGGACAATTTAGTATCCATGGGTAATTTTAGAAGTACTTTAATATCTTCAACTTAAAAGTTATAATATAAAGCAGGGGATTCATATTTAGCCAAGCCTTTCCACTCTCGTTTCTGGGGTAATTTATAGCTAAGCTTAGGACACAATTACAGTTATCTATCCACCTTTATCTCACTTCCTTATACAATTCTCTCTCATCTTTAAGTATTTTGTCTTTTAAAAAAGTTATGAGATATCATCTCACCCCAGTCAAAATAGCAAAATTTAACAGAACA